CATAAAAGAGCCAAGGTTGCCTACCCCTGGCCTATACCATTCCAGACAAATGGCTGTCCGGTCTCTTCTTGGAATCTTCTGGAGGCAGGCCGTTGCACTGAAGAACAGAATAATAGAGTAATAATAATAATAATAATAATAATAATAATAATAATAATAATAGTAAAGTTGGAAGGGACCTTGGAGGTCATCTAGTCCAACCCCCTGCTCAGGCAGGAAACCCTATACCATTTCGGACAAATGGCTGTCCAATTTCTTCTTAAAAACTTCCAGTGTTGGAGCATTCACCACTTCTGGAGGCCGGTTGTTCCACTGGTTAATTGTTCTCGCTGTTAGGAAGTTTCTCCTTAATTCCAGGTTGCTTCTCTCCTTGATCAGTTTCCATCCGTTGCTTCTTGTCCTGACTTCTGGTGCTTTGGAGAATAGCTTGACTCCCTCTTCTTTGGGGCAGCCCCTGAGATACTGGAACACAGCTATCATGTCCCCCCTCGTCCTTCTCTTCGTTAAACTAGACATACCCAATTCCAGCAACACTTCCTTATATGTTTTAGCCTCCAGTCCCCTGATCATCTTTGTTGGAAGAGACCTTGGAGGTTATCTAGTCCAACCCCCTGCTAATGCAGGAGATCCTATACCATTCTGAACAAATGGCTGTCCAATCTCTTTTTGAAAACTTCCAGTGTTGGAGCATTCACAACCTCTGGAGGCAAGTTAATTTTTCTCACTGTCAGGAAGTTTCTCCTTAGTTTCTCTCCTTGATAGGTTTCCATCCATTGCTTCTTGTCCTGCCTTCAGGGGCTTTGAAGGACAGGTTGTCACCCTACTTTTTCTTGTGTGAACAAATGCCAGGGTCCCGAGGGAAAGAAATGCAATTTTGGCCTTTCAGTGGCGTGTTGCAAAAAAATCTCTTTTTTTCTGGATTAATATATAATTTCCAGATCACGCGAAGATATAAATCCACTCTGTTCTGTTTTGGGGAGACCCCACCTCACTCAATCTCTGGCTGAGAGCGTGTTTATTTCTATCCCACTTTAAAAAAAAAAGGTCCAGAGAAGGACAGTGAAAATTATCCGAGAATTAAGAGCTAAGCTGTAGGAAGAGAGATTAAAAGATTTGAGAGTCTCTTGCCTCGAGACGTAAGAGAGAGAGGATAGCGCTCTTAAATATTGGCAAGGGGTTTCGACAGGGTGTCCCTTAGGATTCTATCGCGCACGGCACAGAATAATGAATTTAAGAATCAGGAAGCTCCTGGTGGTCCTTGACTTCTCACCATGTTTAAGCCCAAAATTTCTGTTCTTAAGTGAGTTTTGCCCCATTTGTTAAGTGAATCTAACTTCCCCATTAACTTTAATAATAATAAAGTTGGAAGGGACCTTGGAGGTCATCTAGTCCAACCCCCTGCTCAGGCAGGAAACCCTATACCATTTCGGACAAACGGCTGTCCAGTGTTGGAGCATTCACAGCTTCTGGAGGCAGGTTGTTCCACTGGTTAATTGTTCTCACGGTCAGGAAGTTTCTCCTTAGTTCCAGGTTGCTTCTCTCCTTGATTAGTTTCCATCCGTTGCTTCTTGTCCTGCCCTTCAGGGGCTTTGGAGAAGAGCTTGACTCCCTCTTCTTTGGGGCAGCCCCTGAGATACTGGAAGACTGCTATTATGTCCCCCCTCATCCTTCTCTTCTTTAAACTAGAGGTCCCTCCCAGCTCTGTTATTCTGTATTCCAAGAAGTAAGGAGAAATTTCCTGAAAGTGAGAAAAATTAATCAGTGAAACTGCTGGACTCCAGAAGTTGTGGGTGCTCCAACACTGGAGTTTTTAAAGAAGAGACTGGACGGCCATTTGTCCGAAATGGTATAGGGTCTCCTGCTGGAGCAGGGGGTTGGACTAGAAGACCTCCGAGGTCCCTTCCAGCTTGGTTATATTGTTAAGAAGGCCTTTCAGAGGCTACCTGAGCAGGCTTCGTGAGCACAGCCCAATTATTTCCAAACACACATCTACAACTACACAGGAAGGATAAGAGTGTTTGGGGCTCATGAGGTAAAAGCCAGAGGCTGCTTCTCTCTTTGGTTAGTTTCCATCCGTTGCTTCTTGTCCTGCCTTCAGGCGCTTTGGAGAATAGCTTGACTCCCTCTTCTTTGGGGCAGCCCCTGAGATACTGGAACACTGCTATCCTGTCCCCCCTTGTCCTTCTCTTCCTTAAACTAGACATACCCAATTCCAGCAGCTTTTCCTTATATGTTTTAGCCTCCAGTCCCCTGATCATCTTTGTTGCTCTTCTCTGAACTCTTTCCAGAGTCTCAACATCTTTTTTACATCCTGGTGACCAAAACTGGATGCAGTATTCCAGGTGTGGCCGTACCTTAAAGCCGAGGACAACCTGTTACTGCTTTTAGAAACCTCTCTGCTATAATTCTCGAAGGTACACTTCTCGTCTTAACCTCCTTAACCTGTCTTCTCCTCAGATAATACCCGTGGACAAATTAGTGAAAGGGAAATTCCAGGACAATTTCGAATTTGTTCAGTGGTTCAAGAAGTTCTTCGACGCGAATTACGACGGGAAGGACTACGACCCTGTGGCCGCTCGGCAAGGCCAGGAGAGCTGCCCCGCCCCGCCTCTGGTGGTCCCGCTGCTGAACAAGCCGAAGAAGACTCTCGGTTCGGGTGGCACCGGTAAGAGAGGCTGGTGTGTCGGGCGCCGCGGGCGCTGGGGAGTTCTAATGCTGCTCCTGGGCCAGCTCTGGCGGTTGGGGATGATGGGAGAAGTGGTCCCAGCATTCTGGGAGGGCCCAGGAAGGGGACACCCCTGTCAGCACAGGTAGCATCTCAGGCTGATGGCGTCTCTCGTTATCCTGGCCAGAGGTGAGGTGGTGATTGGATTGAAAGGCTACCTCTGTCAGGCCTGCCACACCTGAACCTCTTAATAATAATAATAATAATAATAATAATAATAATAATAACAACAACAACAACAACAACAACAACAACAACAACAACAACAACAACAACAACAACAACAATAATAATATTAAAGTTGGAAGGGACCTGGGAGGTCTTCTAGTCCACCCCCCTGCTCAGGCAGGAAACCCTATACCACTTCAGACCAATGGCTGTCCAGTCTCTTCATAATAAATAATAATAAAGTTGGAAGGGACCTGGGAGGTCATCTAGTCCAACCCCCCTGCTCAGGCAGGAAATGCTATACCACTTCAGACCAATGACTGCAGTCTCTTCATAATAAACAATAATAAGGTTGGAAGGGACCTTGGAGGTCATCTAGCCCAACCCCCTGCTGATGCAGGAAACCCTATACCATTTCAGACAAATGGCTGTCCAAATAGAGACGATCCTTGGCTCCTAACTTGTGGGGCTCCTAACTTGTGGGGTGCCACAAGGGTCGGTCCTCTCCCCCTTACTGTTCAATATTTATGTGAAGCCGCTGGGGGAGATCATCCGTGGCTTCGGGGTGGATTTCCATCAGTACGCTGATGATACTCAGCTGTACATTTCCACCCCAGGCCACCCCAATGATGCCCTTGACGTGATGGCCCGGTGTCTGGAGGCCGTACGG